ACTATAACATAGTCGAAATGCCAATATTCATCTTTTGTCAAAAGGAGAAAACATAACCTACGAAAAAGTTGATATAGCTATATTTTTATGGTTCTTGAAATGTTACTATGCAATTTTTAGTTGATTTAGCAAACGCTGCTGTGTGAAAGGAAAAATTTATTTTCAATCTGCTGAGGTAGCAAGTTTCTTTTTATACCTCCTTTATGCTTGAGGAAGTGAAGTCTACAGGCATTTGAAACTAGATTTATAGGTTAGTCACCAAAAAATCACTGCAAACAGCACCTTGAAACTTGAACGCATGCACAGTTAAACAGAATATCCAGTCATTTTTAGTTTACAGTATCAGTAGACGAAACAAAGCAATATGAAACATATTTTCAGACAGAAGGTCAACAAGGCTTATTACCTTCGAACACCTTAACTTCACAAACGATATAAACCAAAGAGCTAGTTTCAAATGCTCATTAAAGAAATAGGAAATGTCTCAAAATAGAAGATTGCCTCTAATAAGGTTTCCTGAAAACTGAATAGGAAGCAGTTAGTGTCTTTTAGCAACTAAAAAGTGTTCTAATGGTTCTGATCCTTTTCAAAAGAATGTACCAAGAGTACTTATACAAAAACAATAATAAAATGTATTTTATAACTCTACGTAACAAAAATATCCTGCACTTAATATACTTTATTATAAAAATTACCAATATAAAAAAATTACTTTATAAATATGACTATTTCTTCTTTGTTAAAGCTTCTATTTAATTTATAAGTTTTTGCTGTAGGGCACATGTGCTTTCTGTAGAGAGCCAGAGACAGACACAGACAGAGGAAAAGTGAAAAATTACCCCCTGGGGGAATGGCCATGACATAATACCCTCTACTCCATTTTCCTCTCATGATTTTGGGCACACACGCAATGCGCCAAGCATGGTCAAGCCACTGAATCCGGGACTCAAACCATGGTTAGCCATATGGAAGTCCAGCACCTTAACCACTACTCCACCTGCTGGCCCCTAAATATGCCTGTTTCTAATAGTCATGCTGTAATAATATGAGCGTGCAGTAATAACAGGAGCAAAACTTTTGATATTCTTTTCATAAACTCTTATTGAATGACTAGAACCAACAGTATCTCCTAGGAAGGTCTAGTGATATTAATGCTACTGCTAAGACTGCACTGATGCTGCTGCAAAATGTGATTTCTCATCTGAAGCTGAAACCATTCACCTGGGGAATAAGTATGTCTCAAAAAACTGAAACCAAATGGACCAGAAAGGCATAGGAGTGAGCTGCAGAACTGGATTCTGACTGTCCTGGTCTTGATCTCTACTGTGTTTGGGAAGACCCTCTGAGTGGCGGGATGTGAAAAGAGGCCCTCCATCTGCAGATAGGTCAAAAGCTAGAAACTAAAAACTGCAGCAAAATCTCTGAAGTTGTTCCATCTCTTTAGAGTAGGTATTTCAAGGCAACTGGTAAACTAGGGTAGGCCCTTCAAGACAAAAGAGCAACTGCTTTATAATCCTTATCGGCACTACACTTACTTTCTCTAGTTAGTCCATGGCTGTTCTCACCCAGTACTACATTCTGATAAAGATTTTTATATGCTGCAGCCTTTCTTCATTGTTCAAAGGTGAAACAAAGGGAAGGGAGTTAGATATGCACTTGTGCCCCAGGAAGTCAGAATAGTGGTAGCACCAGTCAGTAATAGCTAACTCCAAAGGAGAAGGTGAGATTCGGGGTGGACAAAGTAAGGAGATCTTGGTACCCATTCTCACTACCCTAATCCCCTCTGCCTCTACTCTATGCACAAGAATAAATAAATAAATAAATAAATAAATACAACAACTAAAAAAAAAAACCCTGAGGCACTCTGTAGTTAAATCTTGGATGTCAAAAACGAGTTTTCTAAGAAAATATGTTCTTTCAAAATAAAATGGAAACTCTATTACTATTTCTAGTGCTATCTTTGAAAGCCTTTAACTCCAAACTGCTGAATAAAAGCAAAGATACATAACATAGCACCTTACTTTCTTCAGATAGTCTTAGACTTCCAAAAGCAGAGAATTAACCAGACATGATCTAATGTAAGGAAATGGCTTTGCTGACTTTTTTTAAAGCATGTGAAATTGTTTATTTCCCCTTTTTTTTTTCATGAATAGTAGAGACAGAGAAAAACTCTCAACAGGGTCTCATGCCTTGATGCCTTCACCTAGTCCGCCTCCTCCCAGTCTTCCACCTTCCCCATGAGCCAGAATCACCAGCATGACTGCCAGGCAAATACAGGTCAACCAGGAACTGAACCTGTGCTCCTCGACATGGATCCAGCTCCAAGTGGGCTACACGTGACCACTGCACCACCTAAGCAGCCCAATCATCCCTCCAAATAAAGCCCTTATATTCTAGACATTTTGGCTTTATTCTTGATTCTGCCACTTTGTGTTGTGTGTGTGTGTGTGTGTGTATGTGTTGTGCATGTTTGGTTGGCTTTTTAGTTTTGTTATCAGGCATGCATGCTCACCAGAGAGAAACAGATGGGAGGGAGGATGAGGAATCCCACACAGGGGGAATGGCTAAGCCATAATCCCTCTTCCCTCTTGCTCAACTCCTCTCAAGCACACACACCCTGCATGTTTCTCAAACCACCAGATTTAGGACTCAAACCACACAGACTGCCATGTGGGATCCAGCCACCTTCACTACCACACCACCGATTGGCCCAGTGCTGCTACTCTGAACTATGCAAATTATTAATAGGTCCTGTGCTTCGGTTTCCTCACATGCACACCAAGGAAGGTAAGCTGTACAACACTAAATCCATGGAAAATACCTTTTCGGACACACAAACTGTTTAGGTCCCTTTGACATGTTCTGTTTAAAAGAAGAAGAAAGAAAATAAAATTCAAAAATGTTGATGTCCCTGATCACTATTACTAGATAGATACAATTCTCACCAAAGAAAAATGGGTCTCCCAAAAAAACACAAATAAAAGCAAAGAGTAATACTGTCCTGTTATCTAAACAAATTTATAGTCAAATCTTTTCTTAGTGAAGTTATTCTATGCATATAATTAAGCATTACAAAGAATCAAGATATAATAGAATGCATTATTTAACTATAAATACAATACTGTACAAGACCCTGAAACTTTCAAGTTCAAATCACTAAAACCTAATGTTTTGTGTTCTACTGGCCATTAGGAAAAATATATACTTTAAAGACTGCTAGGAAGACTACTATTTAATTATATTTTAAAATATTCATGTTTGGGGGGGTTCTAATAAACATTACAGACATAAGGAAAAAAGTACTCAAAAAATAACACAGATTTGAGTAATAGATTGATTGGACTACATGAACCTTCTGTACTCCCTGAATATTACATTTTCAGAATCATAAGTCTTCAGCCCTTAAAATATTTCCCTAACCTACTATTTTAGGTGAAGTTAATAGAACAGATTACATAATAGTTTCGAGGCTTTAGCAAAAAAAAAGAAAAAGTTTATCAATGACAATAACAGAGAACTCCAAGAAGAAGAGGAAAGTTAGGGTGTCAGAACTAAAATGAGTTGGTCAAAAACTACCTTGTGGTGGAAAATATTCCTGCCAGAGCTCTTCTTGCATAAATCTTTGAGATTCTATATTTTAATGTATGAAGTCTCTAATTAAAGATCTAGTACAAGCCACCTCACGTCACATTGGGAACATGCTTAATCTGTTCAAGATCTATTAGGAATTATAAGTAACTCACAAATACATTAGGAGTCACATGAACTTCACCTTCTCCTAGAGAGACTGTCTTGGCAGCGCACAAAGTACTATTGCCTAAAGTCACTGACACAAAAGTAACATACACTGATAGAAGAAAGAAACATATGACAGATAACTTGCAAGATAAAGTAGCACATGCTACAATATACCAAAGCTAGGTATTTTTAACAATGTAACAAAGTAGGGAGGGACTCTAAGCTTTTGTAGTAGAGGCCTGGAGAATTCTGATTGGCAGGGGTCAACTATCAGATACTGAGAACCTACAAAGCGCTTCTGGGCACTACAGATACCCAGAAAAATAAGATCCTGTTCCCTGTCCTAGGTAAGTTTTAGAGTACAAAGGAGACAAACTCTGCAGGTTTGGGGGACCCAAATAATGATATACCTTTCTAGAGGAGGCAGAATCAAGTTGTAGAGTATTAAAAGATCAACTATGCCAATAAAACCACATTAACTGTTTTAAAGAACTAAGGGTCAATCTAATGAGGAATGGGGAAAAACTCAAACTGGAAGTGTGATGCAAGATTACTCAAGACAGCCTTAAGAGATGAAGAATCTAAGAGTTTAGCTAAAGGAACAAAAAAAAGAATACGGTGAGTTTTTTAACTACAATTTGTTATGCCAATTGTGTTCTGCGGGTGTCAAAAACTGTAGGAACAATAATGTATGAAGGTTGTCAAAAGCACCAGGCCTGAAAGCGCTGCGCTCACATTCGACTCACCTCCTAGCTATGTCACTTTGGAAAAGCTACTCAACAGCTCTTTGCCACGGTTTTCTCATGTGTAAAGTGAGGTGGACAATGACAGTGTCTCTAAAGCCGGGAGCAGCTTCTCACAAACACCGACGTGACTATATTCACGCCACTGGCCAACACTTATACACAAAATCAAATCCACATCGCGTAGCCGCTGGTAGCCTCCAAAGTTTCCAGGCTACCTACCTTTCTGGTCTTAATCTTAAATGAACTTCCCCTACTTCCAGGAACCACATGGATCAATGTGGGTTCTGAAAAACAGTGGGCACTGTCCTCACGGTGCTTCTCCTTCAGCAGCCCCTGTCCAAAGCCCTTCCTCACCACCTGTCAAAGCCCGCTTCTCTAGGAGCCCAGCTCCCTCCAACCCCATAGCACACGTGCCTGCTCCTCTGCACGGTTCACTACTGCCCGTTTTCATGTGTGCACTTTTAATGCCTCCCTCTCTCGCCTCCCTCACACTAATTTTGGAGAGCTGAGACAAACCTTTTCCATCCTCGTTCCTACCCCTCATCCCAGACGGTGCCCAGGCAAGCTTGGGAAACGAGTTACTGAATTAGACTGGATATTTACAACCGTCATGGCCGCAGTTCCAGAAACTGCTTAATTTTGCAGATTCTTTTATTGCTCTCAGCCCCTAAAACCTTGACATGAAACGTCTTTTTAAATCAGAATATCGCCGTCCTTTCCAAGAAAAGTTCCACGGCGCACCCCCACGCGTCGACAATGCGGTCATTCTTCGCTTCAGAAGTTGCGTGTGCGCGGAGGGCAGCCTCGCTCGGGTGCGAACGCGACTTGGAAAGGAGAACCAGGCGGCGGCTGCTCGGGTCTCCCCTCAACTTCCTGCGGGCCGCCGGGGCCCGCGCTCGTCCGTGTCCGCCGCGCTCCGTTCTCCAGCCCTCGCCTCCCCTCGTCCCGCCGCCGCGACACCCCCGCAGCCCC